GCCCTGACAATGCCGCGCGCGCAGATCCTGATGCCTCGCCAGCGCCCAGCTGCAGGCCCATTCCAACAGCGCCTCGCGCACAGACCCTGATGCAAGCCACCAGTGCCCAGCCTCAGGCCAGCACATCAAGTGTCGCGCGCACCCATAGCAACGCGCGTGCAGACCCGCAAGACAAAGATGCTGCCATCGGACTTAGTTTTTCCTTGTAATAATCTAAGTCCTTTTCATTGTAATCATAGACTAGTTTTCATCATTTTCATTTCAGTGTGCTTCTACAGCTTTATTAGGACTAGTCTTGTAATGTTGGTTTATTTTTTTTAAGCATTATTAAGGGGGACCAAACAATCAAACATTTCAATCAGCATTTTCTGGTGTCTCTCCCCCTCGACACCACATCATTGTAATCATCATTTTCAGTCATCAATAAAATCATCATCAGCATTCAAAACCCAATTCTCTCTCAAGCTTCCGCAATTGCCCACGACATTGGTTTTCCCGCACGGCACTGACAATCTAGTCTAGCGTGCGGCGANCATTGTAATCAGCATTTTCATTCAGCAATAAAATCATCATCATCATTCAAAACCCAATTCTCTCTCAGCTTCCGCAATTTGCTTACGACATTGGTTTTCCCGCACGGCACTGACAATCTAGTCTAGCGTGCGGCGAGGACCTCATTGGCGGACAGCAACCGCACTGACATCGGTTGCTTAGCCTTACGTTGCCCTTCCAAAGATCATCAGGAAGGCGTTGCGTAACAGTATACATGTGCTACACAACTTGTATTACATCTACTATACAACTCATATGCTTGTGCTAGCTATGATGTAGTACATGTGTATACATGTGCTAGACAACTTGTATGTCAACACTATCCAACAGATAATGCAGAATACATATCAATATGCTACAAAACACAAATTTAATGGTCACTAACTCATAAAGTCAGTCAGTATTGATGTAATCGGTTCCACCAAAACCACGAAAATGATGCAGTCCAAATTATGACTCAAGTTTTGAAGCCTTGGGTTCGTTTCAATCAGAAAATGCACCAGATAAGACTTCTAAGTTTGAATCTTTAGAGGATAATTTAAGATGCATACCGCCATCAAAGCTTGCTCCAATTTTCCCCCAAAGCCCCAGTATGGAATATCTATTGTGACCAGTTTGTATGCTGTCATAACGGGACTACATTGGTCCTGAAAATACCAAGGGAGTCTCAAGTTAATAGAACTCTTCTTAATATAGGTCGGCGAGTAGAGTCGAAATGCATATTATTGAAATCTTCAAACCCTGAAGCAAACGTTCAGTTCCTGTAGTCCATAGTTTAAACATGAAAGGCACAAAAGCTTGTTAAAGTTATACAGTAGTTGAAACTTCAGTACAAGGGAAAAAGCCCTGCATGATCCCACTTGGAAGCAAATAAAACTTGAGTTTCAAGAAAATTTAATTTCATCAATAATATCTTTTACTAGGTTTTAGAGAAGCTTCTGGTAGTCATTCTTCAATTCTTTTCCCCTCAATTTCTAAGATTGAGGTTTCTGATACCACAAGGATTGCTCAGTCTTCTTTTTTTTTATTTAGCAAAACCAAAACTTTTTTTATTCTTCTGGCTAGACCACTCATGTGTCTGGATAAATCAGTCATATTTTCAGAACTGAATAATGTTAGATATAATAGCTTCAGAAATGTACAGTCTATCTGTTTTAAGTGTAAACAGAAAACGGAAAATAGCAATGGAGAAGTAGGCAATAAAAATCTAAGATATCCAATTTGCAATTGTAGCCAAGTCCTCTTCTCCCTTTATAGTAAGTTTCTATTTTTGCAAACTCAAGAACCTACCCAAGAGAGAGAACCAAGTCCTAGTAGCTATACCTTCAAAGAAAGGGGATCGGGCAAACTAGCTCTCAAATGCTGTTGAAAGAAAGAGATACAAACCTTCCAGCCCTTCAGCAGCGGCCCGCGACCAGTCCTAGCAGATTTGAACTTAGAAAAATCGACGGTGCTTCTTCCCACAATGTAATTCCAATAATCACTTGCAGCTGAAGCAATATCAATAACTTCCACCTGCCTGGCAGCTAGTTGTTGCTTGCTCAGACCGTGCACCTATAGTTGCATTTTTTCTTAAATCCATGTCATAAAACAATTACAAAGATTCTTATATAGAAACTGTACATAGAAAAATGGAAATTAATGTCACTAGTCTAGCCAAGCACGAACTGCAACAGCTCAACTCCATTAAGCACTATAGCCAAGTACATTAAACTTACATTTTCTGAGTATCCATTATCAGCTTTATGGACAGTGTCAACGGTCATTAAGAACTTTGAAAAACCCGGACACTGCAAAAAGAGAACTACTGAGTATCTTTGATACTACACTACTACAAGATACTTCCACAAAGCACAGGATTGATGGAAGGTCGTAAATGTTAATTACCTTAATAACTGCATCAGATGATTTCGTATTCCAGACAGAAACCAGTAAATCGGTTAATATAAAACTATAACAAAGACTTGTATTGCTAACTAAAAAAGAATATTCTATTTGCAAGTATGAACACTAACCTGATCTACATTTTGGATAAGCATTCCAAGTGTCCTCTCTCACAGCAAGGGCATTAGGAGATGCAAATTTAGTCAACCAAGTTGGAGCTTTGCTGCAAATGTAGGGTGACTTGAGTCGGACAAAACATGCCAATACAAGAACTTTGAATAACTATTGCCTCCACAGACAAGAGGGGTTGCTCAGATAGTTAGCACCCCCACCTACAACCCCAGGGTCGTGGGTTCGAGTCACCAAAGGAGCAATAGCTTCAACAAAGGGGAATAAAAAAAATGCCTCCATAAAAAACAAACGCGCTCTAAGATCACCAGAACATCCAGTTAATAATTCTGGTATAACTATGGCTCAAATTGTTAAATCAAGCCAAAAAGGCAACCTACCCCTGTTAGAGAAAAATCCCTAACTTCTCAAGCAAATAAAGACCTTTTAGTTTTGTTACTTAATGCCAGTACCACTTACTAAATCAAATCAAACAAAATAGAGCTATTCGCGAAATGAATTGATATCAGCAAAGTTTTACTCTATGCCTATTTGAAGTTACCTCTGAAAACGGTAAATTTTGGACGTGTATTGGCCCTCCCCGAATTCAACATCAGTGAATGGTCTGTTTTGTAAAACCTCTACCCCCTCATTACCAGTGGTGCTCTGTTGTTGCATTTTCATGACCACATACATCTGTGCTATTTCATACTACAATGCCAATACAAAAATTGATGCCCATCAAACAGTTAAAACAACATATATTGAAATTATCCTCAAAAAGTTGTTGAATTTGCGTACCTCTTCAAGTGACAAAGGCATTACAATTCGACTTCAGAGAAGCATCAAATGACAAATAAGTCATTGGTCAAGGAAACATCAAAATGAAATGGAGTTTTTTTTTTAACCACCCGTGGTCCACTAGTGCAGTGGATGAGACCGCTCTTCCCTTCACCAGAAGTCCCAGGTTCGAGACCTCCCAAATGGGGCCTACGCGGCGCGAATCCGTCGGTCCAAATAGTACTGGCTAGCCAATTTTTAGATTGATAATTGAAAAATAAATAGTGTTTGCAAAGTCATTAAAAAATAACTATTATTTTGCTGTAACACGGAAAGTTCCAGTATAATATACTAGAGATTGGTGCACATGTGTATGAACTTCCAGCATATCATGCTGAAACTCCAGCACATTATACTGAAACATCAGCACATAGAAAGTTCTAGCATAATATACTGGAGATTGGAGCACGTATGTATGAACTTCCAGTATATTATGCTGGAACTCCAGTATATTATGTTGGAACCCAATATATTATGCTGGAAGTTCACATGTAAAAATTCGAACTCTAGTATATTATGCTGTAATATTTTCCATATTTTGAATAGTTTTTTCGTTCAGATTTATCTCTACTTGAAAAACGGCTAAATTTCGATTACTTTTAAAACTGTGGCTATTTTTCAATTACCACGTATAAGTCTGACTATTTTTGAATTTCACCTAAAATTTACGTGTAAAAATCTATTAAAATTACAAAAATAATAAATATGAATTCATAATTTTAAAAACATAAGCAGTTGTGTTATCGGTGTGGGGAATCGATCTCAGATCTTCCAGATAAAAATCATTCACCCAATCAACTCAGATAATCCTTGCGGCTATTTCTAGCTTTTGTTTTGTTTTTAATTTATATATTTGATGGAGGGAACCTTGGAAGTTGGATGTAGACATTTCAGGCTATTCAAATCCTTCGAATGGAATATAAACATTGGTGCGGTTAAGGATCCCTCACGAATTGGATAACGAGATTATTTTATTACTCTTAACCACTTCCTTATTTTTCTATTACTTTCTCTATTTGCATACTTAATCACGAAGTATGTGGTTATGATTGTATAAAAGGAAATCTTACATAAATGTCCCAAAAAAATTCTAATTTATCAATTTCTTGTCACTAATAAGGTTCTTTCTCTCCAAGAATCACACAAAAGTCTCCTTCCATATTGTTAAGCATGATTAGCAACATTAGATGCAGGACGGAAAGAAATTTCATGGATGAGATTACAAATAAGGTGATGAAATACAAAAAAATATATATACAAGATTCCAAATATTTAAGCAAAAAAAGAATTTTTTTCAATGGGTATGGTTGAGATTCATTGAAAACATATAGATGAGTCAATATACAAAATGATGAAGATTGGAGGTGATTTGGATTAATTTGGTATCAAAATTCGTAGTTAAAATCGAGTTCAAAAAATTATTCTGCGACACATGTATCAAACATATATCACGCATGTATCTCACACACAAGTATACATAGATATACATATGATATACATTTGATACAAATATGATACAAATGCGATACACAAGTGATACAGAGTGTGATACACCTATCATTTTTTTATATTCATCTTCTACTTCGAATTTTCAATTCAAACCACCTTAAACTCCACCAAATCATACCAAAATTGAGATTCAAGCTTCTTAAGATGTACCTAATCTATTCTAATAACACCTGCTCAAAAGAAAGCAAAAAATTTACATTTTTTGCTACAAATGGCTGTTTGGCTAATATTAGTAATATTTTATGAATTGACCAATTTTTATAATAAGCTAATTATAAATGTACATAGCTGATATTTTTCCCTGTTTTACAATATTTGTCAATTCAATCATGGTTTGTTCTCTTGTATGTTTATGTTTAGTTAGCGTAAGCACAAGCCCAATGCTGATGGGCTAGTTGTGGGCAAGTGCAGAGATAGCCATTCTCGGGAATGCTATTTAGAGATTAGCAATACTTATTTTGTCCTAAAATTTTAAATTAAAAGCTCAGTTTCAGAACAATTCAGAATATTTTTATTCTGAAAAAATTAAATTGAAAAACTGAAATTCAAGATGTACTAGTTAATTTCTAAATATCAGCCATTTACGGTGGCTATCTGTTGTCATTTCTACCATGAAACTGTTTCGTCCTGTATTTTAGGCATTAAGTTGTGAATAAGCCCAATGTTGATGGGCTAGCTGTGAATAATGAAGCAAATCTAAATATGGCCTTTGGGCTTGGATTTGAAGCAAGAAGGAGATTAAGGCACATGGATACAAAGGGGAGTAGATTAGCCGAATTTAATTGCATTCGCTAGTCAAAAAGTATATATATTATATGTGGGGTGTTATTTTTGAAACGTCGTCTGAATACCAAGTAAATAGAGCTGAATAAAAGGGAAATGTGTCCGAAAATTTCATATTGCTGACCTAATTAACTAATTTGGAATTAAAACATATTGAAATGAGTATTTCTAGAATCCTCACTTACAAAGGAGCTCCTTGTTTTTTATTAAGCTAGCGTTTGATCATAGATTCTCACATTTGTTTTAAAAAAATTGATTTGGGTGAAGTTTGATTTGAAGATGAAAATATGTTGGGACATAATTTTTCAAAACATACTTCACTTTTTTTTTGAAAAAACATAAAATGGGACTTATACTCATAAGTTTTAAAAACTATCAAAAATGCCCAACAACTCTCAAGAAAATTAATACAAAACAAGCGAAACAAATCTAAAGAAAATTCATACAAAATAGACGAAACAAACCTGAAGAAAATTTATACAAACATTAGCAGATTTTAGCAAATTACCTTCAAATTTTATCTCTGCGGTGGATACCCACAGATTGGCACAACAACTTTGGTGAAAGTTTTCTTTTGTTTATAAACAAGGGCAAAGCCACATGAGTTTAACGAGAAAAAAGTGGTTAAATATGGATTAATTGGGTCATAATAGCAGAAAGTGATTTTTTTTATTAAATACAAAAGTTTGGGGCAATTTTTGAATTAAAAAAACCAAACAGTAACATTTTGGGCAAAAAACAACTCTTGAACTGGTTTTGGAATTTGGGTTTTGGGATTTGGAAATTTATCAAAATATGAATAAAATTTATAAACAAAAAAAATTTGCTAAAAAAAATTAGAAAATATTTGATAAAATCTATGATCAAACAGGACTTACTTTGAAGGTGGCAGCTCGGAAACAAAGCTCTATTGTTCTACCTTTTTCAAGCCATGCTTTTTTACCTAGTACGTACACTATGAGAAACGGTTTAAGTGTACCAACTCTAGAAAATCATTGTGTAATTCATAATCATAAGCTGTACCAAACAGTCATAATTAAATCACGTTAGTATGTAACTAACTAATTATATCATAATCCACAATGCAACTACTAATAGTAATTAATATAAAAAGGTAGTCCGATGCACCAAGCTCCTGCTATGCGTGAGGTCTGGGGAAAGGCCGGACCACAAGGGTTTAGGAGGTTTCTAAATATCCATTGACACCCCTACTAATTACTATAAAAAAGGGCAGTCCGGTGAACTACACTCCCGCTATGCGCGGGATCCGGGGAAGGGCCTGATCACAAGAGTCTATGCATTTATGCAAGAGGCTGTTTCCACGACTTGACCCCGTGACCTCCTGATCCGGGGAAGGGCCAGACCACAAGGATCTATTGTACGCAGCCTTACCCTGTATTTATGCAAGAAGCTGTTTCCACGGCTTGAACCCGTGACCTCCTGACACATGTCAACAACTTTACCAGTTATGCCAAGGCTCCTCTTCCGACTATTAATTACTATCATAATCCATAATCATATGTACTACAAGGTAAAATTGGATTCTTTAACCTAAAAAAGCGACTTGTAAATAAAAAATTGAAATTAAGAGAAGTTAGTTTGAGTGGCTAAAGTAGTTTATTAGTCAAGCTTGAACCTAACTCAACTAGCATACCAACACTTTGGAGAGACTATAGAAAGACTAAGGAGATAAAGAAATACTTTGGTGCTTTATTTCAAACCATTTGACGTCTGCTATTTCTTTGCCCTTACTTGAAGCTTAATCCCAAAAATTTCCACTTCCATATAGCATATCACTATTTTTTGCCCATAAAGACTTATGCAGATGAAAAAGAAGAAATCACCTAGCGTTTTACCTCTTCTAGAATTTGAACTCTACTATCTCTCTCATAGTAACATTTATCGCACTTCATTAATGGTAAACCACTACACTTAGGTGCTACATAATATTTTTTCGGGTCCACTTTAATTGATTTTTTTGATTTTTTTCTTGTGGTCCATAATATTTGATTTTTTCAGATATCAAGAAGGAATTAACTTCTTTTTTTCAAAATCGTCTCTGCAGTAAAGAGTTTAGGAGGATTTGTTATATTTCTAATGAACAAATTAAGGTTAATATGGTTATTTTTATTGTTAATTAATATTAAAAGGTGAATTCCTCAATATGTGTAAAAAAGAAATAAAAAAATTAATTTAAGTAGACCGAAAAGAGTATATCACTATTTAATTTCATAAAATTGATTCGGTGGGTCACAGAGAATTTGGAAAGTCTTTCTTGGTGTGGATTCTTAAAACGATGTAAGAATTTATACTCTTTTTTCTTTGTTTTCTTTATTTTGCTGGTAGGAATGTGACACTAACTAGTAGTAGAAAGCTAGAGACGAAAGGTTAGTTATTGACTATATTGTGTTCAACTTAGGCTATCATTCTCTACCTTGTCATTTTCTTTGGGAATGACTGGACTTAAAAAGGAAAAAGAAAACAATAGGAGGAAAAAACCCCCTTTTTGGCTAAATTGGCCTTCAATACTCACGAAGTACTTCTAGAATAGCTAGGCAACTTTCATGTCACCATTTTAGTCAATTTCCTTATAAAG